GCATCAGTGTAGCGTCCCGCTCTCGGCTGCTCTTGACTCAGGACGGCGAGGCCGGCGGAGGAGGGGCAATGACCCACTGCCCTGGCACCGCCTGACTGCGGCTTTGACATGCTCATGCTCATGCTCATGCCACCGCTGACTGATGGCCCTCGGTGGAGTCGAAGGGACCCCATTGCCGGGTACCAGCCGCGGCTCAGAGGCTTAGGTAACCCTACCGAATTGGGTTCCCGCGCGGCTTCCACCACCTTTTTCTCCGATGTAGGTAATTGATGAGTGCTTGATCTGGATGATGCTGACCAAGCCATATTTGAGATGACCAAGAGTTTGGTGATACGCAATCCGACAGCAGAACTCTGTGGATTGCACGCAATATTACCACCGCAGTCATCAAACGCAATGGATAATACGTGGGCAGTTTGGCCGTGCCCACGTCCCTCCCTGTAAGCCAGCCGATGCCGAAGGAGGGGTCAGGTCAGATGGGCATCGCCCGCTCGGTCAGCCTCGGTCTGCAAAGCCGAATGAACAGCCACTTTCACATGGTTGTCGCTGGCACTGCCACTGCACTGCGCTGCACTGCACGACACCTGCCTATGCTCATCATCATCGCAAGCTCCATGCAGCCCTGGCCTGAGCTTGGCCTAGCTTCCTTTGGCTGAAGCTTCGCTTTCTCGTCACCTTTTTCTTGCAACACCAACACGGCCGACCATCGCAACCACATAATGGCCACCCCCCGGGCAGCAACAGCCGCTCTGCTGCGGCAGCTGCGTCGAGCCCGCCCCTCAGCAACACGACAGTCATTACGAGGCGCGACAACAACTCCCCCGACCCACGCCAGGCTCTCGTCGACCTTCTCGTCAGTCAATGCCGAGGAAATCTCCCACTTCAACGGCCTCGCTGCCTCGTGGTGGGATCCCCACGGCTCCTCCCGCCTCTTGCACCTCATGAACCCGCTACGACACGACTTTATCCGCGCCTGTCAGGCCTCGACCGCCGACGCGCCGCCCCCCTCGTCGGCCGCCACGCCCCGCTATCTCGACGTTGGTTGTGGCGCGGCATCTTCGCCGAGTCGGCCGCCCGCCTGCCCACAACAGCCTCGGTCACGGCCATTGACCCTTCACCCGAAGTCTCGCATCGCCCGCGCCCATGCCCGCGCGACCCGGCCCTGCGCCCGCCCCAGCTGACCTACCTGCCGGCCACCATCGAGACGCTGCCCATGCCGGCGACGCCTGCGGACCGCTTCGATGTCGTCTCCGTCTTCGAGGTCGTCGAGCACGTCGACTCGCCCGCCGAATTCCTCGCGCGCTGCGCCCCCTTTGTCAAGCCTGGCGGCTGGCTCGTCGGCAGCACCATCGCCCGCACCTGGGTCAGCTGGCTGACGACAAACTTTCTCGCCGAGGACGTCCTCGGCATCGTGCCCAAAGGCACCCACGACTGGAACAAATACATCAATGACGCAGAGCTTACGGCCTGGTTCGCCGGGCAGAGCGGCTGGGCGAGCCCCCGCATCATGGGTGTCGTCTACGTGCCCGGCGTTGGGTGGCGCGAGGTCGCCGGCAGCGAGAAGGTGGGCAACTACTTTTTCGCGTTCCGGCGGGAGATCGCCGCGTAAGTGCGGCCATGGCTTCATTGCCAGCGCGTAGTCATGCGCTTGGACGACATGCCAGACCTGGGAGATGATGCACGTGACGTGCGGGGAGGTGTAATGTTATGCTGTACAGTAAACAAGGGCCAAAATGCCCCGCGGTATCTGGGCGGGAAGCCTCAAATGTGTTTGTCACAATACCGGTTCAGGGGGGGGAATCTGGGGTGGGGAGTAATCGAGTCAATTTTCTTTGTCAGACTGTCATGTGTCGTCCAACACGCTATCGTGGAATCGTCGATCGTCAAACGGGACAAATGACGTGAATTGCTGTTCGACGCAACCAACGGCTCCGATGTCTGGAATCGGTTGGCGAAGGGGCGGAGAAGGTTTCGACGGAGAAAGGCGGACATGCTAGTCTCCTGAGACGATCCAAAGGCAGATGGTACACACCCGCTCTCGGCGGCCCTTATCGCCAGCTTTCAGCCCAGAGAATGGGACGGTAAAGCTGCTGACAGGGAAGACGAGGCCAATGAGAGGCGGAACGGCAGCCAGTTCGGCCCAGCCCGATAACCCGGCTGCACGTCTATCAGGAGCCGCAAGGGGAGGGCCAATGGAGGGAGGGCTATATCTAATGGACCCTGGGGCGCTTTCTCCTCGGATGGCATGACGATGGAGATGCTGTCCTCTTAGGGTGCGCTTGGTGTCATCCCGCGTATCTGATTGTCGAGCGATTTTCGTAGGGGGGACGAGCAGTTTTTGGGGGGAGCTTTGGGGGGGGGGGAAGGCGCGATTAGCACCAGGAAGGAGCGATTCGTCGCTGGCAAGAGCGATTAGCGGCAGCCCGGGTCGCACTCGCCCCAAAGTTACTTCTCCGCGGGCGCAGCAGAGCCTCTGCTGCGGGCGGTCGCCCCTGCTCTTATTGGAGGATAAGTGCTCTCCCCCAATGTCTTATCTCGCGCAGCTCTTATCGGGACTCCATCGCTCTTGACCTCGACCAGCAAAGGACCCCTCCATGTCGAGCGCGACATCAACCCCTCCAGATCATATCGCCCGCCCGCCCATCTCGGGGAGGTCCAGTACACGCCATGCTATTCCCTAATGCGCCCGCGAGACTCGGTCCCTCTTTGAAACCTGGAGATATGGCTCCGCCCCACGATCGCCCATCCGGAGATGCTCACACCACATCAGACCATGGGCGAACGAGGCCAGGCCCATTGGCCATTCCCTCTAGCTGGGTTGGACCACATTGACCTCATGCCACGCGGAAATGGTACACCCTAGACACAAGAGCCGAAACCAAGTGGCGCGACTTTTGTCGACGAGGTGCCCGGTTGTCTTGCATTGAATGATTGACTTTTTCTCCCGTCCATACCAATTTCTTCCCCTTCACTGTTTCTTGACACTTGTTGTTCGAAACATCACCAGTGTACACCACATCCAACAAGACCTCTTATCCAGGGTTGACAGCGCCCCCCTCCCACCTCCAATTCGTCAAACCCCTGTATCGTGACCCCCCCCTAGGGGATCATCCTTCACCATGGCGGAGCGAAAGAAGATTGTCGTTGTCGGCCTGGGCATGGTCGGCATCGCCTTCATCGAGAGATGCTCAAGCTCGATGCCCGCACACGCGCCTACGACATCATCGTCATTGG